GCACTGGCATGAGCCTGGAAATAATCAACAATCATAATATCACTGTACCTCAGACCCACCCCAGGCCGACACAAGGCATTGGCGCGAGCCTGGAAATAATCACAATCACATCTGCTCACATGAACAAAAACTTCCTACCCTAACATCTTTCGTATTTCTAAGTCACCAACATCAACATGTCTCTAGGTCTTGTTCATCATACATAAGCCACTAAGCCATGGATTCCTAATGATTCTCAATCACAGAAATATAATAAATAAATACAAGCAATCTGGTACAACGATGACATGACATATCACGTAATTAGAATGAGAATCACAAATCACGAGACCTTCAAAAATAGTCTTTTAAAATAATTTCTTTATCCAAAATAAATTCTTTATTTCTTGTTATAATTATCCAAAAGTAATTCCATTTTCCAAAATAATTCCTTTTAAATAATTCTAAAACATTCTTTAAATATTCTTTTCATTATTCCCTCTTCCAAAATAATTTCTTTTCTAATTATAATTAATCTAAAACAATTCTTTTCAAAACAAATTCCTTTAAAATTATGATAATTATCTAAAATGATTCTGTTCTCAAAATAATTTTTTTTAAATTAGCACAATCATCTAAAAATAATACTAATACTGAAATAAATTCCTTTAAAATTATAATTATTCTAAAATAATACTATTTATCATATTATCATGATTTATCTAATATTATTCATTAAGCAATCCCACGCAGATAATTGTATCACAACTAATTCATGTAACCGAACAATAACAGATACAAATAATGGAAATACAAGTCAAGGAAAACGGGATCTTGCATATACTTAATTAACAGTATATCAAAAATAGTAAAGACAAGACAAAGGGTGTGAGATCTTGCCTGCGAGACCGTGGGGTCTGACGACGAGGCGACGATGCCGATGCGGACGCGGTACGACGGATCTCAAGCGACGTTTGTGGCGGGTCTGAACTGCGTCGGCATATCGTCGAATAGGTGGCGTGCGACGAACGAGAGGCGTTGGTGGTTGCGGTTGGTGGTCGTTGGTAGCAAACTTGGGCGTCGGGGCTCGCGGTTGAGCGACGAGGGGAGGAGACTCAAGAGAGGCAGCGGCGTGGGCGTTTGAGCGGTGGTCGAAGGGCGGCTTGGGGAGGAGCAGCGGCGAGGAGGGCTTGGGTGCTCGGTTTCGGGTGAAGGAGGAGGTCGACGATTGGATCTGTGGAGGAGGACAACGAGCTCGGGAGATCGGGGAGTCGACGGAGTTGGGTGGTCGACGTCGGTGGTCAAGGGGAGTCGGAGATGATGAAGGCGGTGCTGAGTGAGGTGGTGAAGGAGTTCAGGAGGTGGGTTCGAAGGGGATGGTGACGGAGGTCGGAGGGAGCTCAGGGGCAGTGGGGTTGGAGGAGCTTAGGGAGGAGTTGGTGGTGTTTGTGATGGTGGGAGAGAGGAAGAGAGAGGGGGCTGGAGAAGAATAAGAGAAGAGAGAGAAGAGATAGGGAGGGTTGCGTGTGGGGGACATGGAAGTGAGGGGTGCGGAATCTAAGGAGGAAATTAAGGAGGAAAGAATGGAAGTGGGGTAGGGGAAATTGAGGGAATCATGGGAGAGAGAAAAAGAATTGATTACGGGAGAGATATTTGAGAGAGTTAATGGTATGATTTGAACGTGATTTTGGGGAAGAGAATGATTATGGGAAGTGATTAGGGGATTGATTAAGGAGGGGTTATGGAAAGAATTCAAATGAGAGAAAATTAAGGGGAGAGAAAAGATTATGAGAAAATATGAATAATTAGGGAAAATTCTTATGAAAAAAATAAACACTAACAATAATAAAATTAACAATAATACAACAATATTAATTTACAAGTTTTCATCGTAACTAATTAATTTATAATTAACAAAATCAATAAATAAATATAAAATTAGGTTTTTAAATCGTAGAAAATTCTAAAAAAATCAAGAAAATACAAATACTCTTTTGAAAATAATAATTTAATATTTTAAAATACCAAAAAATTATTTTAAGTAGTATCGAAAATCCATGATCCTTACACTACTCACCCCGTCACTCATCCGAACACGAACGGTACCGATACCACCAATAGGGTATTTGTGATCATTACCCATGAGCACAATATCCCATCTTTCCAACTCCTGAAAGATGGAGAATCATTTCCTCCTAGGACAAATATGGTAAGTAGCACCCGAATCCAACATCCACTCAGTGGAGTCGACAACACAAACAGACGGTAGTGCTGGGCACTAATAGCCTGAAGAATCTGAATCTAAAATGTCACCACTAGACTTGGTAATATTCACCTCCGAAGCTTGAATAGCTTTCCCCTATTCTTCCCGGCTCGATCTGTCAACTTTGGGCATTCGGCTTTTCAATGTTCATCTTCTTTATAAAAGGCACACTGGTTCCTACGAACTCCAGGGTATGCCCCTCTAGACTGTGACCTCCTACCACGGTTTGGACTCTTTGCTCTTGCGACCAATGCCTCCGCTATCGGCTCAACTGAAGTCTCCTTATCATTCTTCCGAAACTGATAATTCACAAGTGCAGTGGTGACCTCACTATAAGAAAGAGATGCACTCACATTAAGAGTAAGAACGAAGGTCTCATATTCCTCGTCAAGCAAGGAACTCAACAACAACAACGCCTTATCCTCATTTTCAATCATCACATCTACATTCGTCAAATCCGTAAGAAGCTTCATGTAGTGGTTCATGTGATCACCAATAGAGGTTCCTTTCTTCAATTGGAAGCGGTAAAGCCTCATTTTCAAATGCAAGCGGTTCTCTACACTCTTGGTCAAATACTTGCTCTTAATGATCTCCCAAATCTTCTTAGCCGAAGTCTCATTGATCACATCATATTTTAAATCTTATGTTAGACAAGATCTAATCACACCACACACCGTTCTATTCATCTTCTTCCAAATATTTTCCTCAATGTCGTCCGGTTTTTCGTCCAACTACAATGTATCTTTCAAATTTTACGCGTTGAGCGCATCCAAGACTTCGCATCTCCAAAGTACAAAATTGTTTGTGTCATTAAACGTCTCCATATCTATCTTCATAGATTGGACATTCAAACTTTGGACGGTCTTCACGCCGGAAGTACCCTCCAAAACTCATTCTTTCTCGGCCATCTTTCTCAAAACACCAACAAACCAATGCGGAACAAACGAAGAATAGATCCAAACAGATAAAGAGAGATTTTTACCTCTAACTGAAATCCTAACAAGAGCCTCTGAAAGATCTCACCCCCACACGACGGTAGACAAGATCACCAATAGTAAAAATCCCACATTTATCACCAACTGAAGCCCTGGACGAGCTTCCAAAGCGATCTACTCCAATTAGTGCGACCGTAGCCCGGTTCTGATACCACTTGTTGTGCGTAGCGAAACCGGAGGAACACACAACCGCAAACGAGATTGGAACACAAATCAACAACCAGAAACAAGTATCACAAATGCAAGACAACAAATTATACGTGGACATAGACAAATTTGCCAAACCACGTAAAAATTGGTTGTTTGTGTTTATGCCGTTATTGTGCTTGTGTTTGTCCTTCACTCTCGGTATTTGTGCTTGATCTCGGTAGAAATCCCAACAGAAAGCATTCTATCGTGGAATCCGATCGCATAATCATGGCTCAACACCAAACCATAGCTTGTGCTCCAACGACGACAATGGAGTTACCAAAATAGGCCCAGGTGTGTTCTCCTTTTTTTTTCCGGGTTTACAGACGAGTATCTATTGTTCCTCAAATTGCCTTGATGGGTTGTGCCTTTCATGGTTTATTTGTCAACGAACTATTATGGCGACATCCCTGCATTCTCTTCCTTCACAGAAGTTAATTTTCTACAAATGAGTGCTTCTTAGTTCCTGAAATTGTCGTGGATTGTCGATGCTCATGTTTTGTTTTCCTACCAACTGTTTGTTTGTATGCCTACCTGATTTTGAGTTGCCTAGTATGGGATGTATGTTGAGTGACAAATACTTACAGGTGTTTGGCGACGGGGCGTGTCCAGTAATTTCTCGAAATCTTAAATTGCATTAGGGAAAAAATATTAATGAATGCACACGTAACGTAAATAAAATTATTAATTATTATGACTACAAAAGTTAATTTAAAAGAAAAAGTAGATAGTTTATGAATCACAGTTAGATACAACGAGTATACAATCACCAATATACTTCATCATAAGTAGCAGAAAGCACAACCAAAATACCTCATGGTCCTTAGTACATCCACACAAGCCAGTTCTAAATAATAATATTCTTCTAATTTTCTATAGGATCACGAAGTATAAATCTGTCACTGTAACAAAATACAGCCACAAATACTCTCTCTCCAAAGTTGCAGTATTTCTCATTTTCTTCTGCCAAAAACCATGCCTGGTACGCAACCACGCTCGCCACATTTCTTTCCTGGGCACGAGAAGTCTATGCCCAAGAAGCTTGCTTTCCTGCTCATCTCCGAAGTCTGGAGAAGGCAGCAAACATTTAAAAAGGTACGAGGCTGCACCACAGTAACGTCAGTTGAAAATGTGAATTCAATGCAAATAGTAAGGAAAAAAGAAACAGTGTTTGTTGAGAAACAAATACATCAGTGGCTGTGAAAAGTTGATTAGCAGGAGCTATACGTAGAATAGCCCTTGCTTCTGATGATGCAAAAATAGTAATTAAGCATAAAAGAAAAACCTAGTAAATTGAAGAAAACCCACCCAAATCTAACTTTAAAAAAAAACAATACCCTTGGAAATGAATTCTTTCCCCCCTTACCTTGAAGCAGCGAGGAATGCTGTAGTAGTGAAAATGAAGTGTGTGTAGTGGCAGTGAAAATAATTGGTAGGATTCCAAGAGAATATTTGCATTTTTTTTTTCCATTCAAGTTAAAGGGACTTTATCTAACATAAATTTGAAGGAAAAGATTTCCTAGCTCTGGAGAAAGGTCTTAACAAAATGGTACAAAATGGACATAGAAGTACCTTTAATAAGCCGGCTCTGAGTAGGCCACTATAGGATTCCAGTTCCATTCTGCATCACTATCCGAGTCCTGGAAGGAACGACTAGGCTTCAGTAAAGGAATGAAATTGGACTTGATCAGTTCATCTTCCCATTCCAACAGCTCCCACCATGATGCAAAACACGTCACTGTCACTCTTTGTCTTGTAAGAATTGTGATGTCAGTCAGGTTTGAGCATTTCATAACTTTTAAAATTGTCAAGCGAGGAAGAGTCATCAATCTCTTTCCGCAGTTGAGACTCTTTAGCCCTTCCATTTCTTTCAGCTCTAGCCTTTCCAGATTCGGGAAGATATCAATTTCTTTGTCGTCATCGTCGTCGTCCTCAACATGGATTAGTTGTTCCATTTTACTACATCCCTCAAGCACTAACTTGCGTATGGAAGTGATACTTGCATTTTTCCACGAAATGACAGCTTTGGGCAATGATGAAAGGTATAGTTCTTGTATCTCTGCAAGACGTGTCCATTTAGAATCTGATCTTCGGCTTTTGATGACTACACTTTCCAAATCATTGCAACTTTTGATGTACAGAACCCTCAGATGTTGGACTTCTTTCAGAAGACTTGCCAACGATATGGTTGTCAAACCTGGGAAAGTTCTCAAGGTTAAGTTTCGTGTGGATATTGCCAACTTAGGAGACATTTTGAGCTTTTCTAGAGCATCTTCTCTTTCTATAGTGATTCCGAGTGTCTTCAAATGCGGCAATTGATCGATTTCATCTATATTGGCCCCATCTTGAGTAGTAGGGCCTACTTTCCAATCCCCGAAACTGTAATCCATTTCCAGCACTCTCAAGTTAGTGAGATTTGCAATGAGATGTTTCGGCACGACTCTCAGAAACCATGTAAACTTTAGTATCAAGAACCTCAGCTTGGCTAAATCTTTCATCTTCATAGGCAGTGACCTGATTGCTGTACTGCGAAGCTCAAGATATCTCAAATTTACTAAATTTCCTATCCCTTCTGGCAGTTCCTTAATGGGATTATTGGATAAATCCAAGACTCTCAGCTTTGGCATGAACCCGAAGAAGCCGTCGCAGATTTTATTCAGACCATTTCGTCGAAGCAGTAGTGTAAGCAATTCAGGGCAATTTGGAATGTTATAGAGTCGACGTATGCCATTATAGGCAAAGGAGATTCTTTCGGCATCTTCCTGCCAATAAAACCTACGCAGTTTGCGGTTTGCACTTATTAACCATTTGTGTTCTGATTTAGATATCCACATGGCCAAAACACGAGCCATCGGGTGCATGCATATCATATCACTATCTGAGTTAGTCTTCAGTAAGAACGTTATCTTCAAATCTTCGATCAGGTTATACCCACTGTTGTAGGCCTCATGCCCATGATCATAACGCTTCTCTACTATAATTTCTTCACCTAGGAGGAGGTTTATCAAGGACTCTCTTGCATAAGCTACACTTTCTGGAAGCAAAGAGCAGAACAGAAAGCATGTCTTCAACTGCTCGGTGCGTAGATTATCATAACTACGCTTCATGCGAGATATAAATTCAACGTTTGTAAGCTGAAGAAGCCCATATGGTATCTCAAGGTTCGTTATTACATAACTCAACACTGACCGGGTGCATTTGTTTGCCACTGATTGTGCGATATTCTTAATTGCGATCGGTAGACCACCACATTTTTTCAAGAGCAATTTAAGGTGGTAAGGTCTCCTAGGACCTACCTCACACCCTGGCATCATAGAGAAAAGAAGGAAAGATTCATCGTCATTCAAGCACTCAACGAAGACCTTTTCAGCACCCATACTTGCGCACACAGCTTCTACTTGTGTGGAGAGAATGATCTTTGATTTAGACGGAGGTTCAGGAATGGGTATTCCTACATCATGAAGATTCAAGTGCCTCCATATATCATCCAAAAACAATACAAATGGCTTGTCTTTGAGGCAATAATGTATGGCCCTTCTCCATTGCTCTCTGTCCTCGATTTCCTGCCAATGTATTCCCAGTCTTTCCATAACAATCACTTGAATTTCCTCTATAGTGGGATGGTCGGGGTGGTCGCCTACTGTGACCCAGATCACATGGTGTTCTCTTTGTTGAAGATGCTCGTTATTGAAGTTTTCCAGTAAAAGGGTCTTGCCTACTCCAGCCATCCCATAGACCCCGATGATATTTGTGTTGTCACCTTCAAAATAATTTTCAAGCTGCTCCTTGGCTGACTCCATGTCTACAGCCAAACCCCCAGGCCTCTTCAAGAATCGGTCTGGTGAAATGTTTAGCTAGCAAATCCCTCCGATAACTTGTCATTTTCTAAATGTTCTTCCACTCTTTTGATCATCATCTCTGCTGTCTTGCTCAGCGAGTAATGTCCCTTCCAGTTAGGAAGATAATCTCCCATGCAACGCGGGTCCCTATCATACTCGATTCTGATATCATTTAATTTATCTGTTGCATGAAATTGGAAAGAACCAGGGTCAAAACTGAATGATATCATAAAGATTGTCAATATTAATATGTGTGATTTGGGAGATTAGGATGATTATTTCTTTATGGCTAGTCATGGAATTGCTTCTCTTTGAAACTTGAATTGGCGTATATTCGTATTCTGCATATGGGAACGTATGTATTGGACTAGTAGCATCAAATCTATATAAAGACATTTTATACATGTTCCTGGTTTCATGTTAAGGGTATTAGAGAAATTGCTTGATATCAAGCTGAAGAAAACATTAATTGTGCAAAATCCTGCGTTATCATATCATACTCTCTTTAAAAGTACGAGTTGGAGAAAATCTTTCCATGATCAATATTACCCTTAACTTTTTTAAAGTATTATATTGTTATTCTAATCTATTCTAACTTTCCTATCTTCTTTGAATTTATAATTGAATGATTTATCCTATCCATAATGAGACTTAACATGTAATTAGATAAAAGAGATACGTTTAATATAATTCAAATCTTTTACTTATTTTAGTTTGCATAGAAATCTAAAAAATATATGCTAGCCAGCACCTAAAAGTTTTTGAACCTTGTAAAAATATCCTCTAAGTTTTAAAATTACAAAAATACCCCTACAAATTCAAAATTTTATTAAAACATCTTGAAAATTATAAATTTTACTTATTTCAATTCAGGGAGAAATCTGAAAAGTATATGCTAACTAAAAAATAAAAGTTTTTTACATTGGAGAAGGTATATTGTAAGTTTTGAAAAATGCAAAAACACTCTTAAAAATTTAAAATTTGTAAAAAACAACTTAAAAATTTTAAACCTATAAAAACACTAAAAACCTACAAATAACACAAACAACCCCCAAAAATTTATGAAATTTGTAATAAACACTAAACATTTTACAAATTGCAAGATAAAACCATCGAGATTGTAAAATTTATAAAAATCCTGATAATTTCCAACCTAACAGTACATTGAAAATATTGGAGTTACAAATATCCCTTGCATAATTTATAATTTATAGAAAACACCTTCAAGTTTCAAAAATTATAAACAAATACTCAAAATTCAAATTTTACAAAAAATACCCTGAGAATTTCAAACTCATTAGTAAATTAAAAATATAAGAATTATAAATAATATATAAACAACTTACAATCTATAGAAAAGACCTATAAGTTTAAAAATAATAAAAAACCCCTAATATTCATAATTTATAAAAAAACACCATGAGAATTTCTAACATGTAGACGCTAAAATGAATATACAAAATTACTAGCAACCCCTAGAAAATAAAAAATTTATAAAAAATATCATACTCCCTTTAAAAGTATAGGTTTAGGAAAAACTTTTCATGATCAATATTACCTGATAACTTTTTTAAAAAGAACATACGTAATTAAAAATCTATTAGATTTGAAATTTACAAAAAAACAAACTTAAAGTTTAGTACATTGCAAATTATCCCTCCAAAGTTTGAAAATTTTCAGTGATTTTTTGTAGTTCCTTGATTTTAATATAATTTTTAATAGTTTTGTGTATTTGTAAATTATAAAAGTTTAGGGTGTTTGTTTTTATAATTTTTAAAACTTTTGAGGGTGTTTCTTTTGTAGTTTTCTAAATTTTTATTGTGTTTTTAGTGTAATGCATAGATACATCAATTAATGATAATATTGAAGAGTAAGTTGTTCTTAAAATGTATTACGCTATAGTTAAGTGTGCACATCACTATTCCTAGGCAGTATAGTTTATACATGTAAAAAATTTTAAACAATCTATATAGTGGTTAAAAGTTTTTTAACTTTAATGTACTATTTTTTATAAATTATATTTAATGTAAACTCACCATATAATTTTGACTGTGGTCATTATAATTTTAATACGTTTAATCGATTTACTATATAAGTATATAGACCATATATTACTTTACTTTTTTGCATGAACTAATATTTGGCACTTAATAATTTAAATTATTATTTTTAAATTTAATATAAAGAGGAGATTTAATAACATTTATTTATTTACCTACAGGATAATATAATTTCATTCCTATTTTTTATTTGAGATTTATTTTATAGTTACATGTATCAAATTAGTAACTAAAATAATAATTATTTATGCTTAAATTAGGATGATTGTAGTTGGTCACTCACTATAAAATTTTTATGAAGATATATACCTTACTTTCTATAATTATCTACACTGCCCATGTATATTTTATAAATTAATTGTTAATTTGACATATTAAATTACTTTTCCTTTGTAGAAGTTTCTTCTTTGACTTTTGGATTATGTAATCACTATGTCATCATTCTAGCGTAGAAAGGACCTCATTCTAAATGACTTCAAGCTAATGTTTGAGTTGAACTGAAGTGTATACTATTGCTACTATGTGTATATATTTTTTAGGAAAATCATGTCGATACTTTTTAAACAGAAAATAATATCCTAACCTCTGATATTATAAAAATAAAATATAGCCAATTGAGTGACTAGCAAAAGAGGATTTTCATCAGAAAAGTGTGCATAATAAGATAAAGAGGAAAGGTAATGGCATTGCCAACAGTATTATCAATAGCAAACTATAATGTAAAGTTAATATATTTTGTAAAGCCCAACTACTGGCTATAAGCATCAAGGTTTTCATATATATACTTTATAATTTATTAAAAGGGCATATAATCTTATATAATAAGATTGATTTAATACTGAATAGTAATATCATTATAAATGAGCAATTATAAAGATGTTAGGGATTAACATGTATGTATTTAAGATTTCAGGACGAAGATCTTAATAACATATTTATATAAGCATGCTCACTTCGTCACCTATTATGTTCACTTTTCTCCTCGCTCATTCTCCACCAATTTCGCTGTCACGCTCGGAGAGAAATAGAATTCATGTTGGTGATGTCTTCTCTTCCTCTATCCCTCGATCTCATTTATTTTAAATTAGTTTCTTTAATTTTTTTAATATTTTCTTGGATCCATTTCATGTTGTATTTTGTGAAGTGTCTTGTTAGATTCAATTTAAATATATTTTAATTTAATTACTATTTTTCCCTATTTATGGGTCAATTAATCACCAGAATGTTTGGGTCTTTTTGCCCATTTCATATTTTGAATTAACAGTTTACTTTAGGAGAATTTTTAAAAAGATCACTTTTTTGAAAATATTAGCAAAATCGACTGTTTTACATAATAATTAACAAAATTGACATCTTTTTTGCCACACCATCAAGACTGGCAAAAAAGATGTTGATTTTGTAAAAAAATCATCTTTAAAATACACGGGACTAATAATCTCGTGTAATTAGAGAAGATTAATTACAAAAGTAATTAAAGTCAGAAAATACACGAGACTACCACTCTTGCATATTTTACAGTCGGAACCAGAAAATACATGAATCTACTATATATGTCCTATATACAAAATAATTTCTCCAGGCAAGTGAGTTATAATAGCATTTCTCATTCACATTGTTTGGAGTAAGATTTGATAGGAATATTGCATCAAAGAGAATTTTTTATATTTAAAGTACATTGTGAAATATATCATAATCTCCCAACTCTAATTTCACAAGAAAATAATCCTTCATACTTTCAGTTTCACTTCTATGGTATGGAAAATGAGCTATAAAATTGAATGTGAATATTAGATAATGTAAATATGTGTGAAACCACAACTAAAAGATAATGTAAATATGAGTCAAACTACAACTAAAAGTTTAATGGACATATTACAAGTAAATTCATATGAAAAATTTCATTATGAATTGAATGATCACCTATCTTTTAAAGACTTCAAGATACTAATAAATAAAGATATTGTAAAAGATCAATGTGTTCATAACTAACAAATAGTAGATCACGTGGCGACAGTCTGGGTTGATGATTGAGTTGATGATCAATCCTGCAAAAAACTTTATTTTTCTCTTTTATTTTTATTCTATTTTTATCAATTTCAATAACCATGATATTCAACCACGTGCGTTGCACATGCAATCCAACTAGTATATAAAAATGTATGTACTTGAATCAACTCTTATCCTCAAAATACTGTAATGAAGCCTCTGTCTGATCAACCTCTGTAAGTTTCTACAAGTTTTAGTCATCAAATTGATATCAATTAGGCAATCATCTAAGCCACCACACTTATTTTACTTGTAATCAATAGTATACTTCTAAAACTGATAAGATCTAAGTCCAAATCCAAGTCACGTCCAACCCTCCTAAAAAGTCCCGCAATGAATTATGTGTGATTAAATCGTTATCTCGTCGAAATTTACCAATGTTTCGATTAATTGACATGCAAATCAGATTATTCTAATATGAGTTTTACTACAGGGACCCAAAATATGAGACCAACATGGAGACATGTGAGGTGTCTCTCTACTATTGCATAATGAGTTGGCCATCATTTTTTGGGTCCATATTTTGGGTCCATGTAGCAAAGCTCGAGTCCTTGGGGAATTTTCATCCAATAAATATTCTGCTTTCCTTTGGTAACTGAAATCACCAATCAAATACCAATCAGATAAAAAATTTTAACCAATCCCCAAATCCACCACTAATGATTACTATTTTATTTCAGGTTACATAAAAAGGATTCCCTTAAGCTGTATTAAGTTTGCCCAAACTTAAAATCGCAAATCATAATCGTTTTCATCCAATACTGGAGAATCAAACTTTTAACTTTTAGTAATGATTCATAGTCTCCAATTAAAAACATCATCTTTCTAACGAACTGATGAACAAACAAGCCTATTCAATAACTATTCAAACTTTCTCTCATTTATTAATCATCCATCACACCATCAAAAATAAGGGACAATACTCATAAAACTACTTCTAGTCTTTCTATATTAACATGAATCAAGTCAACATGTAATAAAAGATTGAAACCCTAACTTAAAACTCAATAAAGATTAAAGGGAACTCATGCCAAATCAAAAGAGATAATATATGTTTGGTGTTGAGAAGTTAATGTAATTGAGGGATATTAGAGGGGTTTTATGTAAATGTGTGTGTAAGGCTATATAAGCTAAGCTATCCTATCAATAGAAATCATCTTTTAGCCCTATTCTTTCTACATGGTATCAGAGCCATAAACCTAGCCGCCTCTCCACCATTCTCCATCCAGATCCAGCCCCGACGAGGAGGTCCTGATCTCCACGCTCTGCACTGGTGATCTCCGTGCTCCGCTTCTGCCACGCTGACCCCCGATGACGACGACCGACGATGAGGTCCTGACCCCCGACGACGACGAGGTCCCGATCATGACGGCAACCTGAAGCTCTCGGACCCCCAACGGCAACCTGATCGTGATGGCAACTTGAAACTCGCGACGGCAACCT